ATATATATATATATATATATATATATATATATATATATATATATATATTATAACCATTTGTGTCTGTTGGATTGTAAATCAACCCACTTAGTGTAGATTATTTCTTTATTATATCTTTATTCTTTTTTGTATTGTGCTATTGTTGCTTTTGTGATGATTGGTAATATTATATATGGTCCTTCTCTCTTTATCAAGAATTCTGAGATTATTTTTTTTGTTAATTAATCTCCTGATCAGGCTGGCATTATTAAGTCAAAACTGAGATCAGATGTATTACAGTGAACCATCAGTGCATTTTAAGTGATGATATGCTGCATACCTCTGCGATGTCCATACAGTGTACGTTTGAGGATTAAATTAAAATTGAAAGAGAAAATGAATCTTCTATTATCACAATGTGCGATATTTAATAACAAAGATAACAGAAACAAAAAGAAAAAGAATCTAAATTAAATTAAATTATATACCCAAAAATTATTTTTAAAAAGCAAAACACATCATGAAAAAAATATAAAATTATTTTTCAAAAATATTTTCAAAATTGAAAATTCCCAGCATCTCTCATTCACAGGCCTGTGTAGTCCCACAATATAAACAAACCTAGTCCGATGAAGTTCTAAGGGACAAAATGTGTCACACAAAAACTTTTTTCCCTTTGTCGTACATCTTTCATACAAAACTCTTCTTGATATATAAAAATCTATATATCATTAGCCCATATAATAGACAGGATATTTCAAAAGTCTATGTCACATTCTAAGAACTCTTCAGGGTATTTCAAAAGTCTTATGTCACATTCTAAGAACTCTTCGGAGTATTTCAAAAGTCTTATGTCACATTCTAAGAACTTTTCAGGATGTTTCAAAAGTCTTATGTCACATTCTAAGAACTCTTCAGGGTGTTTCAAACGTCTTATGTCACATTCTAAGAACTCTTCAGGGTGTTTCAAAATTTTATGTCACATTCTAAGAACTCTTCAGGGTGTTTCAAAAGTCTTATGTCACATTCTAAGAACTCTTCAGGGTGTTTCAAATGTCTTATGTCACATTCTAAGAACTCTTCAGGGTGTTTCAAAATTTTATGTCACATTCTAAGAACTCTTCAGGGTGTTTCCAAAGTCTTATGTCACATTCTAAGAACTCTTTAGGGTGTTTCAAATGTCTTATGTCACATTCTAAGAACTCTTCAGGGTGTTTCAAAAGTCTATGTCACATTCTAAGAACTCTTCAGGGTGTTTCAAAATTTTATGTCATTCTAAGAACTCTTCAGGGTGTTTCAAAATTTTATGTCACATTCTAAGAACTTTTTAGGGTGTTTCAAAAGTTTATATCACATCCTGAAAACTCTTCATGGTGTTTCAAAAGTCTATGTAACATTCTAAGAACTTTTATATCAGGAACTACAAATGGTTACATGATTGAATTGGTACCATTTAAAAGCTCAAAGTCTCAAGTTTTCTTCTGTTAATTTAATTTTAATTTAATTAACCCTCACCATGAATTTTGCACAGAAATGCTGGAGAGGTTAGTAGAAGACGGATTTGATGACCAGCGTGTTTTTAACGATGAGGCAATGTTCCACATAAGTGGCAAAGTTAACAAGCATAACACATGCATATGGGGAATTGAGAATCCTCATATAACTCTTGAGCAGGTATGAGCTTTCCCCTAAGATAAGTGTGTTCTGTGCCATGTCAAAGAAACGTGTGTATCGACCATTCTTCTTTGAAGAAGGAACAGACAATAGTGAGGTGTACCTTGCCATGCTGCAAAACTGGTTGATGGAAAAACCTGTAGACTTCCTTTTCCAACAGGTTGGGGCGCCACTTCACGGGTGTCTTACAGTTAGTCAGTATCTGAACACCACTCTGCCTGACAGATGAGTTGAACTTTCTCAACAGATGGATCACAAGTTCCTGTGATGGCCACCTTGGTCTCTAGACTTCGTACTATATGAGTCCTTCCTCTGGGGGTATGGAAAAGGCCTCGTGCATATACCTCCCCTTCTCAGAGACATGGATAATCTGAAAACATGAATAGCTGAAGCCTTGTCAACCATTAATAATGTTATACTTTATCACATTTGACAAGAATTTGATTATCATTGGGATGTGTGCTGTGTAACCTGTGACGGTCACATTAAACACCTGTAAAAACCTGTGAAAATATTACCTTTCAGAAAATATAAATTGCGTTTTGATATCCTCAATAGTTATTAAGATATATATATATATATATATATATATATATTATGAAATGGATAAAGTCCGACAATTATTTTTTTAAGACATTTTTTTATGTTTATACATTCTTTTTATAGATACAAATATTTAAGTAAATGCTCTGTTTATAATAAACAGTAATAATAACATTTACCGGCCTGAATGTCTGAGAAATTTTCATAGAAAATATGTATCCTCTGACAGAAATTGAACCTGTATCCTATATGGAATCGTCATATAGCCTGAAATGCCTTTACTGATTGGGCCACAGAGGAGCGTTCAGTTAGCAAGGTCGATTTTACTGGGTTTTTTAAACACAATTCTTCATGACTTTCTCTCATACATTTATATCTGCTCAACAATTATTTTTTAAGATATTTTTTATGTTTATAAAAAAAATAATTGTCAGACTTTGTCCATTTTATAATGTGCGACATCATTTGTTTACATTTGGATACACATTGAGCAAATATGAATGTATAAGAGAAAATCTTGCTAACTAAAAACTCCTTTGTGGCCCAATTGGTAAAGGCACGTCAGGCTATATATATATATATATAAAGAAATTTTTTGCATGCAAAATAGTTGTTATCAGTGCAGAAATAGATACACTTCTCCACCCAGATATGGGTTAAATAGCAGCACAGACTGGGGAGCCTAGCCTTGATTTGCAACGAGTTTAGAAGAAAGAAACTCTGAATTCAAAGCTGGGGATGGATGTGCACCATTCATCTGTCGTTATTTCTTCTGAAAGATGTGGCTGCTTCTACACAAATTTTCACACCTGTAATCAAGTCACATGTACAGGTAGTTTGGAAGTTCAGTTCTAGAAAAAAACAAAAATTAAACTATTAGGCACCCATATGACGAAATCAATAGGAGAGTCCACTATATATGTGTGTGTTGTGCAAGTGGTGTTTGTATGTATGTAAGCATATATATGTGTGTGTTTGTGCATGAAAATATGCTTCACTATATACATCAGTATATGAATATATATGAATGTCAGTGTATATATATGTGTGCGTGTGCGTGTGCGTGTGCGTGTGCATGTGCGTGTGCATGTTTGAATATATGTTGGTGTAGATATATGTCTGTATGTTTTTGTATGTATGTCACTATATATATATATATATATATATATATATATTTTTGTATGGTGTATATATATGCCAATATGGATAGTGTGTATAGGCATGTGGGCATATATATATATATATATATATATATATATTTATATATATATATATATAAAAGTGAACATAGAAGCCAACACTTAAAGGTGACAGTAATGTTAGACGCAATAGTCAGGCCACGATGTGTATAGTATGAAACAGACTGCCGCCTCTAAGTGTTGACTTCTATGTTCACTTTTATATTTACACACATGCACTATCGCTGATATTGAGGACTGTATCCATAAATATAGCACATCTTAAGACTATATATCTTCATATATATATATATATATATATATATATATATATATATACACATATACTCACATGCATAAATACTCACATGCATATATTTATGCACACATGTACCTTTTAATATATGTAGGCCAATAAATAAGTATATATTTGTATGCATGTGAGGACAAATATATATATATATATATATGCACACAAGCCTTTGAAGTTATGTTGGTGTATATAGAAGTGCATATGTGCATAAATATATATATATATATATAGTATTTATATATACATGTGCCTTTGAATATATGTGGGTGTATATGTATGTGAGTATATATATTATTATATATATATATGCACACACACATATACCTATGAATATATGTGGGTGTATATTTATGTGTATACTTACACTCCACATATCACCCACACAGGTGTGTGCATATATATATATATATATATATATATATATATATATATATATATATGTATATATATATATATATATATATATGTGTATATATATATATATATATATATATATATATATGTATATGTGTGTACATATATATATATATATATATATATATATATATATATATATATGTATGTGTGTGTGTGTGTGGATTCATTTGTGTGTGAGTGTTTATGCCGAGCAACTAACTGGAATAGTCACAAGTGAGCTGACTGACAAAAAAGAGGAGACAGAGAGATAAAAGATTGAAGAAACGCTTGAGGAATATAAGTGGGAGAAAGCATTTGGCGGGTGGGATGTAGTGGGCCTGAGAGAAGCCATGGTTGAATCAATAAAATCCATGATAAAATCAATTTCTTGCAAGAGATGACATCCAAAAACTGAATGAATGAATGAATGAATGAATGAAGAGAGGAGAGAATGAAATATTTCTTCCATTTTCATCATCTGATTGCCTCATTAATATTCACGTAACCGTGGAGATTTTGGCAATAATAATTATAATAATATTAATGACCTTCGAGGAGGAGCAGTAGGAGGTGGCGGTGGTGGTGGCAGTCATGGTAGTTTGTAATTGAAAAAGTAAAAGGAAGAAAGTAAAAATGAATAGCATTAAGAGAAAAAGAAAATTCTTCAAAAGAAATTAAAAGAAGAGAGTGAAGGATGTGGTTGAAAAAGGAGGAGGAGAATGAAAAGAGAGGTAGAAGGAAAAAAAGAAAGCAGGGAGCGAAAAAAGGTAAGAAAGAAGAAAGCAAGTGAAGAGAGAAGCAAAACTACAGGATCTAACAAAAATAATGAAGTAAAAAAAATATCTTGGAAAAAAGGAAACAAATAGAAATTTAGAAATAAAGAAAGAAAGAAAGAAGCAAATAAGAAACTTATTTTTTCAAAGAAGAAAGAAAGATAGAAAGAAGCAAACAGAAATTTGCAAAAAAAGATAAAAATGAAAGACAAAATGAAAGAAACAATGGAAGACAGACAGAAGGAAATAGAAATTTGAAAGAGAGAAAGAAAGAAAGAATGAAAGACAGAAAGAAGGAAAGATAGAAAGAAGCAAACAGAAATTTGAAAGTGAGAAAGAAAGAACGAAAGACAGAAAAAATGAAAGATAGAAAGAAGGAAATAGAAATTTGAAACGGAGAAAGAAAGAATAAATGAAAGAAAAAATGAAAGACAGAAAGAAGGAAAGACAGAAAGAAGGAAATAGAAATTTGAAAGAGAGAAAGAAAGGATGAAAGACTAAAAGAAGCAAACAGAAATTTGAAAGAGAGAAAGAAAGAACAAAAGACAGAAAGAATGAAAGACAGAAAGAAGGAAATAGAAATTTGAAAGAGAGAAAGAAAGAATGAATGAAAGAAAGAATGAAAGACAGAAAGAAGGAAAGACAGAAAGAAGGAAATAGAAATTTGAAAAAGAGAAAGAAAGAATGAAAGACAGAAAGAAGAAAAGACAGAAAGAAGCAAACAGAAATTTGAAAAGAGAAAAGAAAGAAAAAAAGACAGAAAAAAAAAAAATGAAAGATAGAAAGAAGGAAATAGAAATTTGAAACAGAGAAAGGAAAAGAATGAATGAAAGAAAAAAATGAAAAGACAGAAAGAAGGAGAAAGACAGAAAGAAGCAAATAGAAATTTGAAAGAGAGAAAGAAAGAATGTAAGACTAAAAGAAGCAAACAGAAATTTGAAAAAAACCCAGAAAAATCAAAAACAGAAAGAAGCAAACAGAAATTTGAAAGAAAGAAAGAAAGAAAGGACGAAAGACAGAAAGAATGAAAGAAAGAAAGAAGCAAACAGAAATTTGAAAGAGAGAAAGAATGAATGAATGAAAGAAAAAAATGAAAGATAGAAAAAAGGAAATAGAAATTTGAAAGAGAGAAAGAAAGAATGAATGAAAGAAAGAAGGAAAGACAGAAAGAAGGAAAGACAGAAAGAAGGAAATAGAAATTTGAAAAAGAGAAAGAAAGAATGAAAGACAGAAAGAAGAAAAGACAGGAAGAAGCAAACAGAAATTTGAAAGTGAGAAAGAAAGAAAGAAAGAAAGAAAGAAAGAAGCAAACAGAAATTTGAAAGAGAGAAAGAAAGAACGAAAGACAGAAAAAATGAAAGATAGAAAGAAGGAAATAGAAATTTGAAACAGAGAAAGAAAGAATGAATGAAAGAAAAAATGAAAGACAGAAAGAAGGAAAGACAGAAAGAAGGAAATAGAAATTTGAAAGAGAGAAAGAAAGAATGAAAGACTAAAAGAAGCAAACAGATATTTGAAAAAAAAACAGAAAGAATGAAAAACAGAAAGAAGCAAACAGAAATTTGAAAGAGAGAAAGAAAGAACGAAAGACAGAAAGAATGAAAGACAGAAAGAAGGAAATAGAAATCTGAAAGAGACAAAGAAAGAATGAAAGACAGAAAGAAATAAAGACAGAAAGAAGGAAATAGAAATTTGAAAGGGAGAAAGGAAGAATGAAAGATAGAAAGAAGGAAACAGAAATTTCAAATAAAGACAGAAGTAAGCAACAACTTATTTTTGCAAAGAAGAAAGAAAGAAAAAAAAAGAAAAGGAGAAATCTGTCAAGTAAGAAAAAAATTCAAATGATTGAGAGAGAAAATGAAGGAAAGATAGGAGGAATAAGAATAGAAAAGATAAAATCAGAAAACCTGAGGAAAAATCAAAAGAAGATGTTGGGATTGAAAGAACAAAAAGGACAATACATGAAATCTGACTCAGTTACATGTATATGAGAAAAAGAATCATAAAATAACAGCCCATATCTTAAAACTTACATTCAACAACGATTAAAGAGAATGAAAGTAAAAGAGAATTCACTAGACATAAAAGTAGAAAATTCAGAGATGATGATCTGCTTTGCCTGAATGGCAAGCATATTAATGAATCTCTATTTTTAGAGAGTTCCAAACAACATTTTTATCCTCCATTTTTTTTCCTCTTATTTTTTTTTTTCTTAATTGTTGTTTTGGTTTTTCTTTTAAGCTGTGGGAAAAGTATAACATTTTATGTTAAATACCAACAACAATGAGTTTAAAATACATTTTTTTAGAAAAATACATTTATAGATATTTTATGTATTGAGATAATTATGTGTGGGTGGAATCTTTTAATTATACGTGCATACTTAAGCTAAGAGTTTCTGTGCACTCTACTTAGGATCAAAGTTTCACTCCATGGACCCCTGTCTAGGATCAGGGCCTAGTTTCTTAGCCTTTGGGCTTGGATACAAAAATTCACTATTTCTTCCACCGAAACTGTTCTTAATTTCAGATGAAACATAGCAAGTCAGGTCTTTAGGATTCCAAACCCTGCAGTAGCACCTCTCTCGTTATATTAAAAGAAGACAGGTCAGCATGTTCTGACATCTGCATGAAACTGGTTGTGGAGACAGGGCAAATTTTTTTCATTTCCCATCATGTCTGCCAGTATGGCAATTAGGGGTTTAAAAGTAAAGGATTTATTCTCTCTTTCTCTTTGTGCTCTGGAATATAGTATTGATAATGACAGGACTTTTTCCTTTATGTGGGAGACTCTCTACATGTGCATGTGGCAGCAGACTACTTAATTTCCTACCACCACGTGATGCCACACACACACACACACACACACACAAACACACACACTACTGTTAAATACATAATTTTTTTTTTTTGCTATTTTTGGCAATCTTGGATCTTTGTGCCCACAAATAAACAGAGTGTCAAAAGAACGTTTTTTTCCATTGACCTTGTGTTTAATTTAACTACCTTCACTCTTTGGCAATGTTTATTGGTTTAAAAATTGATGATTAGAATTTTAATAAAAACTTAGATAGATGAAAGTGAATTTGTACATTTTCTTTGTGTTATATTCTGTGCTAATAGGAATATATACTTGACAAACATTATGGATAAAATAAGTAAAGGTTTATTGTAAAAACCAGTACAATAAGAAGAAAGGTAACATTTATGCACAAGGAAATACTAAAAAAGTCAATCCAGTAGTGAGTGCTACTATTGGAAGGTCAGTAGTTTTGTGTAAGTCTAAATCGTACTCAAAAGATCCCCTAGACAGTATCAGCAACTGCAAAATCATAGTAACATGTGGCAAAAGAAAGAATTTAATGGGGGTTCCCAAAAATTATAGTAGACCCCATAAATGGGATCAGGTCTGTCTACCTCCCCAGACGAGAGAGACTGCCTTTCAGCACAAGCTTTGTCTTACATCTACTCTGAAACGAAGGCAGAGAGTTCAACCAGCAGATCTGCAAAAGATTCCAGCTAGAAGAATAGCATTTTGTCCTATTTGTTTGTGGTACAAGGCCAAATTTAATGTGGATCCCCTGAGCCTATTTTTGTAATAAAAAATACCCATAGACCCCTATTTTGAAAATCGGGTAGGTCTACCTCCCAACGAGACTCTGCCCTTCAGCGTAACCCTGTTTGGGTTCCTCTCTGTTCAGAGGCAGAGAGGTTGAACAGCACAGCCAAAAAAGATTTCAGCTAGGATATTTACCAACCGCCCTACAAGGTCTGATGTGGCACAAGGCCAAATTTTACATGGGGTATCCAAACCCAGATGCTCGGCCAAAAAATCCCTGTAGAACCCGCATAAACGGGATCGGGTCAGTCTGCCTTTCTGAACGAGACTTTGCCCTTCAGCAGAGCCTCATTTGGGTTCCACTCTGCCCAAAGGCAGAGAGTTTGAGCATATAGTTGAAAAGATTTCAGCTAGACTCTGTAGTCTGTATCCTTACAGATAATTATAGGTAGTTACTACCTATAGTGTAGTCACTCGGAGTGGGGGTGACAGGTTATTCCATTACATCACTTTGTTATTGAGAATTGACCACAAAAATAATAAACACTATTTATTCATTAGATTGTTTATTGTAATGATTGGCAAAACATCGGCTAATTACCAATTGATTCAAACTCTATAAAACGGTAAATTATAAAGATTTCCTCGTAGTTTGTTAACATATTTTAATAATTTAGTAAATGTTTATAAATTTATGAATAAAAATTCATTTTCATATTTATTTCTTTATAATTTGGTAAATGACAAATATTGCATTGCATTAGTTTTAATTGTATTAGTTTTTAGAATGTTGTCAATATAAAATTATTCTTGTAAATAAACAGTTTAATAAATAAATAATTTTAATATTTTTGTTGTAAATCAAAGAAATGATAAATTCACTTTCATCCTATGTTTTACTTTTACTAAATTTCTAATTATCGTTTTTTAAAACAATAAAAATTGCCAAGAATGAAAGGTAGTTAAAATAATACTAGTCTCAAGTCAAGGGAAAAAAAATCCTGAAAACAATTTTTTTTTTGGGTATGGAGGTCCAATTTTGCTGATTCTTCTTTTACTTTTACACAGATTCATATCTATCTATCTATCTATATATATATATATATATATATATATATATATATATATATATATATATATATATATATATATATATATATATATATATATATATATATATATATATATACCCAAGTATGGGATTGGTGTATATGGAATAAATTCAATAATCAACAAATACTATTCTTAAAAGAGTGCTCAATACATAGTAAAGCAAATACAATTATTTATTCAACAATTATAACATAAGCATGTAATAAAATCACTACAAAAATAGACATTTTGTTTCAACACTTCTGGTGTCTTCTCAAGTGATGGTGTTGAATGTAGAATCTATATGTTTGTGTATTTAGGCAGTAATCCTTCTTTCATGCACATTTCATTGAATATGACAGACAAGGTGTTTTTATTTAGTTTTTTTATACAATTTCTCATGCGATCTAATAATTCTTTCGTCTCAGATGATAAATTATATAAAACTGTCCGAATGTTCTTTTTACCCAAGCGCTTTCAGCTATACATTGAGACATTTTCAAGGATTAAATATTTTAACTGTTAAATAAGAAATAGTTTGTGGAATGTATGTTTCATGAAATGTTTTCATTTTCAAAACACGGTCAAGACATTGTGTCCATGTTCAAAGTTAATATTATTTTACATTTTAATATTATTTTACATTTTAATATTTATTATACATTTCATATTGCAATTTATTTGCTATAAAAATCATGTAATGATAACAACAAAAAAATTGCAATGAGCACTGGTAAAAAAAGGTTGCTGAAGACATTAGGTTTATAATAGCCAGAAATTCATACCCAGATGTCCTCAAGGACACATAGCACAGATGTCCTCAAGGACACATGGCACAGTGGATAAAGGCATTAGTTAAATCCAGTGACAGGACCCAAACAGTGTGATTTCAATACCTGGTTAAGGCAGTGGAGAACTTGGAGAGGGGAATTAACAGGAGATAACGGACATCCATTAGACATGGCACGTGGAACTAGAACAGTCTACCCAGTGAGCAAAATAAAGGGTTCAATTTGACATTCCAACCATTGAAACGTTGTTATAAATATGGCGACAAAGATGAGGACAATAGTGTGAATAATGTATGTATATAAATAAAAAACAATTGGAAAATATTTCTTAGTCATTGCTGACACATTTCGTTAATTTATCAAGGCAAGTTTAAAAGTAAAATGTTTTGTGGTTACATCAAATTCAAAATATTAAAAAGGAAACAGTCTTGTGTAAGCAGTCTTCTGGATATTGGTAACATTTTTTTACAAAGAATTTATTTTAGTTTTTCATGTTGACATATTGTTAAATTTCTCAGAATAATTCAACAATATGTTGACATGGAAAACTAAAACAAATTCTTAATAAAAAACAAGTGTTACCAATATCCGTATGTCTTATCTTCAGAATTATTCTAAGAAATTTAACATTTTATATATATATATATATATATATATATATTTAACATTTATATATATATATATATATATATATATATATATGCAATAAAGGTAAAAAATCAAAATATTTCAGAAGATTTATTTTTGAATTTGCTAATGATCTTATTGGATGGTACTTATATAATTTTTTATGCATTTAAGAGTTTATGGCTATCGCATAACATACAACCTTACAAATAAATATAAACAAATTCTAGACGGTTCTGTAAAGTTCAAAAAGGTTCTGGGGAGTTCTAGAAGGCTCCAGATAGTCATAATACTACTATACTTATATACTATTTTAAAAAATTTCATGCTGGTAGGGGTGATATTTTTAAAAAAATAAATGGAATCAAACCCTTTTTCGTCATTTTTTAACAGAAGTTCATTGAATTATGATACAGGAAATCAATTAACTTACAAAAAGTAAAAACGTCATAAACCTTATGTATATATGTATATTTCTAAGCAATTAATTAAGAGATGCTGATTCAAAATTCTTTAAAACAATGAGAAATAATGCTGTAAAATCCATTAATTTCCTAGAAATCACTATACGCAGATATGTTTGTGGGCGGAAGTCATGATTGTTTTGAAGACAATATCTAGTTAACTAAGCGATCAATATCAAAGGAAGTGGAAAAATCCGGTGTTGTGAAATAAAAGTATGAAATAAGTGGTTGTTTGTGTAAAATATTTACCATTAATTTTGCTGTCATGGTTACAAATCTACTTTAACCTTGAAATAGCTGAAATTACTTACAAAGCATAAATTAAGACGAGCAAAGCTCAAAAGAAGAAAATATGTCAGAAACCGTTCTTAGACAGTATTCTAAAAATTATTTTTTCAGTTTTACAGCAGAAAGCAACTAAGAAAAGTCAACAAGTTGTTATGTGACAGTTAGAAACTTTACTAAAATGTGTCAAGTCCAAATTCCTAAAATACAACTGTAGTTTTTGTTTCATTTTCCTACTTCTCATTAGAAACTTGTAAGAAGGCTGAGAATACCATGGACTGAACATGTGAGCAACGACGAAGTTTTAGAGAAAATGGAAGTAAAAAGGACACTTATACTTAACATCGGGAAGAGAGAATACCATGGATGGAACATGAAGAAGAGACTTGAAGCAATAGAAATGTGGTTCTACAGAAGCATGCTGAGAATACCATGGACCGAACATGTGAGCAACAACAAAGTTTTAGAGAAAATGGAAATGAAAAGGACACTTATACTTAACATTGGACACAGACAAAAAAATGTCTACAGTCGGATTATGAACTTCAACATCAATATTTTAAAATAATAATAATAATGGCTCAAAGTTAAATAAAAAAACGAAAATATAATATCTTCAGTTACATTGTTCTAAGAGAAAAAAAGTGATGTAAAGAAATTTTTTAAAAAGATATATATATATATTGTGTAATTAGGCAGCAATCCCTCTTTTATACATGTTTCATTAAAGACAGCTGTCAACATACTGTGACTAAGCTTTTTATTTAATTTTTCTTGTTTTCATACAAATGTTTTCTTTACAGGACATGTTCGAGTGCATTGGGCCATAATTTTAACTATTATCAAGGATGATTTTATTTTTACTTTTTAACTGGATGTAGGGGTCATGTGTATGTCTCTAGAATTATAGGCATGTTTTATTTTTTGAGCACATAGTAGGCACATTATGGCTGTGTTTGTAGTTAATATTATTGAATGTTGGCTTTTCCTTTTTTAATTATTAGGGTTACCATTATTTTTAATCTTTTTCTACACATCAATGAGGTTATTATGCTTGTATTTTCTACTAGTATGTTTTGAATAGAGTCTGGTAGGTTTTTGCTTATTCCTGATCAAACCAAACTCATAAATAACTAGCAGTAGAGCCCGGCGTTGCCCGGGGATAGATCAAGTATCGACCATCATAAAGACTGAAAAATAAAATTGACAAAGATTATTGTTTAAGGTTGACGGACACGCATATCTTAATTAGTTTTATTTTATTTTTTTTTTTTTTTTACGAATTGGTCAAACTTAAACAAAAACATTGTTTTCAATCATTATGAGTCTACCGATTGAATAGAATTTTATTATAAACAATTGTCTTGTAAATGGAATTTTTAAAGCATTCTGAATGTAAAAAAAAAGAAAAAAGTGTGCAAGACAATAAGAAACACTATCTGCCAAAACAAAAGTGAAGTTTTTTGAAATCGGTTGAAAATGTAGGAAATCCAATCCCATAAACGAACAAACACAACACACACACACACACACACACACACACACACACAAACAACCAACCTGGGTTTTTAATAATAAGTATAACTCGATAACTTGATATTAATAAGTATAACTCGATATGAGTTGTCCCCCTTTCATTAATGCCTCTTAATCGTGTTTTCAAATTGATTTTGGGCAAAAACAATTGTGTTTTTCCAATTTTTGAAGCTGTCAGAACCACCGCAAGGTAATTTTACGTAGTCCTGTGAAGTTTTGTTGAAATCGGTTGAAGAATGTAGGAAATCCGATCCAATATATAAGCGTACGCACACACACACACACACACACACACACACACACACACACACAATCTGTGTTTTATAATAAGTAAGATTATGGCAGTCACACTACTACATGCTTATCCAGACAATTTACATTACACCTATCTGACTTGTAGCTTCATTAGACATGCACATGAAGCTAAAAGGCTCCATCTGAAACATTTTAATTTTTGAGTGTTCTAGACTTTTCTTGAATTAGGAATATTGTATTTCCTTTTTACATGAATAATTGTCATCCTGGGTATGACTATAAACTACATTATGAACTGGACAAAGTCCGACAATTATTTTAAGACATTTTTATGTCTATACATTCTTTTTATAGATACAAATATTTAAGTAAATGCTTTGTTTATAATAAACAGTATTAAACAACATTTACCAGACGAATATTTTCTATGAAAATTTCTCGAACATTCAGGCCAGTAAATGTTGTTTAATACTGTTTATTATAAACAGAGCATTTACTTAAACATTTGTATCTATAAAAAGAATGTATAAACATAAAAATGTCTTAAAATAATTGTCGGACTTTGTCCTTTTCATAATGTGTGACGTCATTTGTTTACATTTGATATGCCATGAGCAGACATGAATATACGTGAGAGATTCATAAAAGATTGAAGTTTAAATACAATAAATTGAACCTTGCTAACCGAACACGCCTCTATGGCCAAATTGGTAAAAGCACGTCAGGCTAAATGACGGTTCCATATAGGATACATGTTCGATTCCTGTCAGAGGACGAATATATTCAGTGAAAATTTCTCGGACATTCAGGCCGGTAAGTGTTGTTTAATACTGTTTATTATAAACAGAGCATTTACTTAAATATTTGTATTTATAAAAAGAATGTATAAACATAAAAATGTCTTAAAATAAACTACATCTGTGTCCTGGGTAAGACGGTAAATTACATTCACCAACAATGCCTCTGATCAGGAGGTTTTGAGGAGTGTTGAACTACCTCTTAATTGCTGGTGTTCCCAGGTTCACCCTGACCCGGGGTGGTAGCACCTGTTAGGGTTCAAACTATGGGCAAATAGTTAACCCCCAACTAATGTCAAAGGACTGTGAAAGTGTAAAAACTGTTTTTAATACCAGCAATGAATATTTTGAGGAAAAAATTTTTTGAAGGAAAAATTATTACCAGCAATACATTTTTATAATTAATTATTACTAGTAATACATTATTAACTGGTGTCAAAATACTATGAAAGTGTAAAAATAGGTTTTAATATCAGCAATACTTTTTTGTAAAAATTATTACCAGCAATACATTTTACCATCTTATTACCAGCAATAAATATATTGTCGACATTAAATAAGGATTATGGGTTAATTTATATAAGATCTGATGCTTACTCATTCACTCAAATTGAAATCAATTTGTCAGTTGTAAGCAAGACAATTGAAATCATGAATGAGTAAATTAGAATTGGTAGAGATGCACTGATAAGAATGGATATGTGAAGAGATAGATAGATAGATAAATATGGAGACAATA